CCAATCAAAACCTCTGGTTAAACTAACAAGTTTTAGAATGCCAGAAATATGTCTGGCTTACACAAACAATGTCACTGAATTTCCACACCACCTCTCACAATATTTTTGCATCCAAGATACTATAGTCTGGATGGGTGCACAACCTGATGTGTAAAAAACTAGTTGGTTGGTCAGACTCAGAGGGTGGTGGTTAGTAAGTCATACTCTGTCCAGAGACCAGTAACAAGTGGGGTACCACCTCTATTCCTGGACCAGTCCTCTTTAACACCTGAAAGAGGTGACAAAATGCCCTGGGGTTAGACAACAACTAGTCCACAAGCTTGAGGCCCCGGCTGCTATCCAGCGGGTCCTTGACAGGCTAAATGAACAGAAGCCTCACAAAATTCAGCAAGGACAGATGCACAGTTCTGCACCTGAGAAGGAAGAGTCCCTGCAACAACACATGCTGGGGACTGAATGGCCAGGGAGTGCTGTCCTGAAAAGGCGCTGGGGGACCTGGCAGACAGCAAGCTAAGCATGACCCAGCAGTGAGCCTGGCAACAGAGGCCCCCAGCGTCCTGGGCTACAGAAACACCGCAACCAGAAGATAAAGGGAAGGGATTATAACGCTCTGTTTACCCTCATGAGATCACAACTTACGTCCCGTGATGAGTTTTGGGTCCCTCGATAACAAGGTATGTGCTGACAAATGTGAGCAAGTTCCCTGAAGGGAGACAGAGATCGCAGGAGGCTCAGTGCTTGTTCGAGAGGGACAGTTAAGCCTGGAAAACAGCCTTGGGGGGACCAAGCAGCAGCCCCCCCCCCCAACCTATGCAGTGATTGATGAGAAGGAGCCAAGTATACATGCTGTGGTGCAGTACAGGAGGATGAGAGACAACAGGCCCTTTCAAATTGAAAAAAGTAAAGTTTAAACTGGAGAGGTTCACGCTGTCTTGCCCACGATGGCAATCAGACAACAGAGCAGGGGACTGAGCTCTTTCCAGCCTTGGAGGTTTTCAAGACCCAAATAGATAGCGCCCTGAGCAACCATGTCTGATCTCCTAAGTAACCCGGCTTTCAGCAAGACGTTGGACTGGAGACCTCCCAAGATCCCTTCCAATGTGAATTATCCAGTGATCCAATCTGGAACATTCCAGCTGCAGATTCAATTCCTTTCCCCAAATTATTATTCTATTCAAAATATGAGGAAATGTATTATATTCATTCCAGTTACATTATCTCTACTTTTCCCCTCCAACCTTTCCTACACTGACCATCACCTTCAACTCTTCTTTTTTCTCAGCACAACTGCATCTCTAGCCTATATAAACCTGTTTCTCCCTAGGCTTACAATCACCAGTGACTACATTCACCCTCTGGAGCTCCCTTCCTTTAGTTATAGCTCCACAATGTCCAAATGTGTCCCTACAGCCCATAGAAATAGTGTTCATCAAAATAAGCAAACCCCTACCAACAGGAAAAATTCATTTTCACTTCAACTTCTCTGAAGCACTGACTTGATACTATCTCTCCCACTCCTTTTTTTTTTTTTTAAACCACTCTTGTTTCTTCCTTAATTTTACTTCTACTTGTGTCTCACTGAAGGAGTTTCATTTATTCTATGCAAGTTGGTGTGACAGCATCTGCAAAGCCAAATGCACCAAACTCTTTAAAAATGTTTATTCAGTGTCCCCAAAAGAACTTACTAGAATTTAGAACATTTTACTCTGCTAAGCAAGCTGAGAAGCTTGCAAGACTTTGGATTTATTTCTTAATTCACTTAGCAGTCCAATAGTTTACAAGTTTCTAAAGTATGTGCTTGTCTCAAGTTGCTTATGACCTGTATTGTAAAGGTTGCATCTGTATTGCTTTCATTGCAGTTGAATTCTGGTAATAAGACAGAAAATGTCAAATTCACCTCTGTGCCCTGCAGTGTCAGGGATCTTGAAAAAAATGAAGATAAATTCCTTTCTCACCACGAATGACTTCTAATACAGAAACCTGCAGGTCACATCAGGGACACTTTTTACAGCTTGCTTACACATATGTTAGAAATTTAAATAATCCTGTTTATAACATACAGGAACAAATAATACCAACGTATCTTCCTGGCTGTTAGCAGTGCTGGCACTGAAGGAAGGCAGAAAATGCCTCTAAATTAAGATCTTATACTGGAAGAAAATTTGATTGCCAGGTAAGAAGGTATGGGCTTGCAATATGAGAGACAGAAAAATAGTTTTATATATAAATATATATATATAATTACAAATACACTACCCAATTTAGATTAAAGTCATCCAGTAACTACTTCCATTGCAAAACGCTCCACTCAAGAGCACTGACTAATGATCATCACGAAGATTTCCAGAACCTCTGCCAGTCCCCACCTGTCCCCTTATCTCCTGGGCTTGTTTCCAGCCTCTCTGCTGTGGGGAAACTCCTTGATCCAGACCTCTGATGTTACCACACACTGAACAAGCACGGGCACACAACCTCATAGCTGGCGCGACTAAAACAACAGCTGTCGTTACGTCAACGCGCAACGACCAGCACATCTGCTTAGGGCTCGATTTGACTTCTGTGGGAGTCAGTAAAACCGTCCGCCTCAATTCTTACGGTGGGCTCGGCCCCACCGGGCAGCCCCAGTCCCTGTCAGGGTGTTGTGCGGGATCTCTGCGTGGCGGCTGAAGGGGGGAAAGTCAGGACAAAGGTGGAAGCTGGTGGAAGATCAGCCAAGGGCAGTGACAGGCGGGCAGCACGGCGAGGGCAGGCGGCCGGGGTGACCCAAAGTGGGAGCCAAAACACCCCCGGACCCACCGGAGGGGAGCAGGGCCGCATGCACCCCGGGCGTGCACCCCAAGTGGAAAAGCCAACCGCTGCAGGCGCGACCGTATCCTCCGGTGCAACAATTCACTTGCACACGCTTGTAAGCGCTCAGCTGAGTAACACACTTGGAAGCGAAAGCAAACCGGCGGCGAGGCGAGCGTCCAGCGAACCACCCCGGCGGCCCCCGGCCGAAGCCCACCGCGCCCCCCGCCCCGAGCGGCCTCCGCCGGCTGCGAAGCCACGGCGTTTCCCTCAGCCTGGCCCCCGGCCCCCGCCGCGGCCGCCGCCGGAGGGGAGCGGCGGCCTGAGGCGAAGGGGAACGGGGGGGCGTCCGCGCCGGCGGAGGGGCGCGGGGAGGAGGGGTGCCGCGGCGGCTTACCCCGTGTTGGGCAGCATGGCGGCGCGGGTACAGGCCGGCCCGGGGTGCGGAGCGGGTCGGGAGGGCGCCGGGGCCGTCCCGCTTCGCGCAGCCGCCGCGGCGGCGAGGGGCGGAGCGGCCGGGGGACGGTGAAGGGCAGCGCCGCTGGGCCCGGCCGAATGGCGTCGGTGTCCGCGGCAGTGCCGGCTTCCCGCCCCCACGCCGGTGTCGGGGCTGGGAACCGCTCTGCCCCGGAGCGCTGACCCGCTGCCCCCGGCGCAGTCCCGCCAGCCGAGGGAGAGCGGGAGCACCGGTGAGCGCCGGGACCTGGAAGCAAAAGCTGCGCCTGGAACGGGAGGGGAACAACTGATGGGAACAAATCGGAATGTCTCACTCTGGAGGATCAGGCAGGGCTATTGAGGTGTCGGAGTACACCCTTTTCCTGAACAGGAAGCCTTTTTATTTTGAAAAACTAAGGACTAAAGTAGCTATCGGGAACAACACTCACCTGCAGCACAGCATGGGTGTTGTTTTCAATGCTGCAGTTCAAGCCTCTTGGCCTGATGGAGGCTCTGGCCTCCTCCTGCCCGCCTGTCGCTGCCCTTGGCTGATCTTCCACCAGCTTCCACCTTTGTCTTGACTTTCCCCCCTTCAGCCGCCACGCAGAGATCCCGCACAACACCCTGACAGGGACTGGGGCTGCCCGGTGAGCCGGTGCCAGGAGAGGAAATCGCCCGGTGGGGCCGAGCCCACCGTAAGAATTGAGGCGGACGGTTTTACTGACTCCCTCGGAAGTCAAATCGAGCCCTAAGCAGATGTGCTGGTCCTTGCGCGTTGACATAATGACGGTGGATGTTTCCCTGTCACTGCAGTTCCCATTGCCACGGAGCTGTTCCCGTACGAACGACGCCTGACCAAGCCGAAGGGGCCAAGGGCTGGCTGAACGCCTGGCAACTGGAACGTCCCTCGTGCCGCTTGCTTTCCCAAGGTTGGCATCCTGCACAGATGGAAGCCAGCCTGCTTTGCAGAGAAGGTCCTCAGGCACGACTGTCCTTCAGCCTCTCTCGGGCCACTCAGCCCAAGTGAGGAGGAACGCAGGGCTTGACTGGAGCAGCTCCGTGCCGGGGCCGACAGGCTCGTGCCTGCAGTGAGCGCCGCGCAAGTGAGCCGTCGCGCCTGCGAAGGGAGCTGCTGCTTTGGGCCAGGCACAGAAGTACCTGCAGGAGAAGCCCCTGGGCGTCACGTTCAGCCTCCTTCCCCTCAAGCGTTTTTTTTTGCCTCCAGTGTTTAGTAGGGCAAATGGATTGAGGAGGCTTTTTTTACCCCGGGAGGGGCAGTTTACCTCCCGGGAGTTGTTTCCTCGTGGGAAGCGGAGCACGTTTGAAAAGGCGCGGCAGAAGCTGGAAGGCTCGCGCGTTGGCCGTCCGCAGTTTTGCTGGTGCCTGCGCATTAGCCCCACATCTCGCCCCTCGCTCCAGGCGATGCGCGGTGGGGGGGGCACGGGTTTACCGTGGGCTGTGCACCCCTGCGTCCGCGGTCCTGCGGTGGGGGAGGCACCCCCCAAACTGCCCTTCCCTCCGGCGGTGCAGCTTTCACCCTGGCGCAGAGCTAGTCCCTGGCCCCCAGGGCTGCTCGCAGGAGAACGTGGGGCGCCCTTCTCTTTCGAAACCGACTTCTGTAGCTTTGTGGGGTCAGGTACTTTGCCTCTCAGCCTGCTGAGTTACGCGGGCGCTGCCGTAGCACCGCAGCAACACCCCCCCGGCTGCCACTGCTCCCCCCACCCCTGGGGACGCTCTCCGGGCTGGTGCCCCGCTCCGACAGCCGGTTCATTCCCCAGCCGTCGCCCGGCGCTGACCGGGGCTCACCCGAGGAGGTGATGAGGAAAATGCAGCCATTCCGAAGGAGGTAGCAAGAGCGGTGCTAGTGAGCGATGTCAGCTGGGCCCTGAGTGTCCGCAGGACAGCGAGAAGATCTTCTGGGACAGCGATGGGCTCTGAAAACACCGTGTCTGCTCCGCCTGACAATCCCAACAAACTTCCTTTTGCCCTTCCAGCCTCCTGTGTATTTGAGTGGCATTTGGCATTGTACCATCCCACGAGTCTAAAGTACTGTTTTCAATGAATGAAGAAATAGGTAGGAACATCCCATTTTTCAGGTGGAAAGTGAGGCCAGCAAAGGAAAACCACTTGTCTAAGATCACCCAGCATGCCAGGGGCATCACTGATATTTCAGTCCCATGGCCTGTAGGATATTGTTTCCTTCACCTGTTCGCTGTTAACAAAGTACATCCTAATGAGCAATGCTGTGATTTCAACATATTAAGAAGATGATTTTCAGCAGAACAATCACTATATTTAAAACATTCCCCCTTAAACACACTGTGGTTTGACTGGAATATTAAAAAATATTTATATACTTAACAATAAAGGTTAGGAACGTTTCTGGGCACCCTGCTACTAGAAGCAATTCCTGATTTTGACTCAGATTTTAACAATTTCTTAGAAATAAATGAGGAGAGCAGAGGATAAGTGTGTAGAGGAGAGTTGAGGTATGTTTTTGTGTTTGTTTTTATTTCTTAATAACAATTAAATATTTATGTTAATTGATAATAAACTAAATTTATTTAAATTCCACAACTCAAAACTAGTTTTTTTGTTGCTCAGAAACAATGTATATATTACTACATACCAGCTAATGACATGGTTTCTTGTCTTCAAATGTTTTTCACTGCAACTTTAAAAGTCTTCTTGTTTTGGTGGTAGCAGTGAAGATAGAAATATGTGGTAGGGAAAGCACTGGGTGTACAAGTTGACCATTTCTGGTGATAATGAATGCCATCTGTATTTCAAGTTGTTTGTTTGCTTGTTTGTTTTTTCTCCAGAGAACTTGGACTCCATTCAACCCATTTGACAAAACCCCTCTTCTTATTTGGAGGGTATGATTTATGGAAGTGAATGTGGAACCTCTCTGCTTAAAACTAGGGTAAGAATGTTAGCTCCTGCAGGACTTTGAAACTTACATGGGTTATAATCAGTGCCTTATTTTGAAGAATCCTTTTTTATACTGAAGGTCACAGGAATTTATTGCAGGAAAAATAAATTGAATGACAAATGGCACATTTTGCAGGAGTATCAAATGATCTGTCCTGATAAATTTGTAGAAAAACCAGTCACTGCTGTTTCCTAGATGAAATTTGCATAATTTACAGTCTCTTAGATGAAATGCAGAACTCTATTTTAAGAAAAGCATCAGGTTTGCTTTTTCAGAATTATAGTGTGCCAAGTTGGAGGACAAATAAGAATGCTGAACAGGCTTCCTAGGAATGCCACAGTATGGATAGGAGAAGGGCAAAGGAGGCAAAGTTTGAGCAGAGTCCTTTTCCTTTGAAAACGGTGTTTGAGCAATCCCACTAGTGCTGTTCTGCCGCGGATGGATGTTGTTAGTTGCCTGGGCCTGAGGACACCAGTTATTTAATAGGGACTCCCAGTAGAGTCCTAAGTATTCGATAGTTAAGACACCTAAGAGACTTGCCACAACATTTTCAGAGGCTGTTCAACCTGACCAGCCTTGAAAATTGCAATTGCTGTACTTTAACGGTAGAGGTGCATGTTAACTGCGGTGTAGTAAAACACTGATTAAAGCAGTGAAGTGGTTTGCAGTTTAGAAGCCTTTGCAGGGGAAGTAATGAAAGCATCCGTGTTTAGCAAGATGGACAAGATAGAAGTATTGTAAGGTTAAAGTGTTGTTTAATAAAAACACCAATTTTTTTATTTTGTGAGTGCTGCTAGGGGTGTATAGATCGCGTTAGAAAACAATGTGCTGTGTAAGCCTTTGTAGTGAACTGTGAATGGTCAGAATTAGAATTCTTCTGTGGTTTTATTTTCACTTCTCTTTTGGTGTTTTAGGAAGTGAAATATATTGCAGAATTACCTTTAGTGCTGTACACCTGTTCAGATTCCCAGGTGCAAAAAATGTCCTTTATCAACATTGATACCGAAAGGGGAGAATATTAGCTTTCCCTACTGTGAAGCTTCAGTCTTTTCAGAGTTGTCTACACATGTTTCTACATGCAAATTTAAAGCATTTTGCAGTTGGAAGGCATACACAATCTCTTTCTTGTAGGTGCTTCCCAGGCATTCAAAGGGGAGAAGAAATCAAGCGGCACCCAGCATAAGGGACCAGATGGAGCTGAGGCTGTCACAGGATCTGCTCCAGCCACGCCACTGAGTCCTGTTGCAGAAACGTTCAGAGTTATTCAGGGGGCCATGAGTGAGGAGTATGTGAGAACTACTCAGGGTGTCTTTCAGTTTGAATTATCCGGTAAGACCACGTCTTGGAACACCTTCAGACGCTCACGCTCCCAGCCCAAGGCACTGGGTGTTTTCAGAGAGAAACAGTCACCTTTCCGAGCGGACCCCGAGCCAGGCCGCCTTCTGTTGTGTCCTGTCCTGTGTGACGCTCCTTCTCGGGCCAGGGCCAGGGCCAGGGCCAGGGCCAGGGCCAGCGCCAGGGCCAGCGCCAGGGCCAGGGCCAGGGCCAGGGCCAGGGCCAGCGCCAGGACCAGGGCCAGGGCCAGGTCCAGCGCCAGGGCCAGGGCCAGCGCCAGGGCCAGGGCCAGCGCCAGGGCCAGCGCCAGGGCCAGGGCCACGGCCAGGGCCAGCGCCAGGGCCAGGGCCAGGGCCAGCGCCAGGGCCAGGGCCAGCGCCAGGGCCAGGGCCAGCGCCAGGGCCAGGACCAGCGCCAGGGCCAGGGCCAGCGCCAGGGCCAGGGCCAGGGCCAGGGCCAGCGCCAGGGCCAGGGCCAGGGCCACGGCCAGGGCCAGCGCCAGGGCCAGGGCCAGGGCCAGGGCCAGCACTAGCCCGCGTGGGAGGCTGCTGTGGCCGGTGCGGCGCACGGGCAGGGTTTGCCAGCCTGCAGGCCCTGCGGCCCAGGGAGAGCGTGAGGCCGGGCAGGGCTGCTCGCGGGGTCGCCTTGAAAGCGGCCGCTGCCACCAGGCCTGTTGGCAGAGTGCCGCCCCGGGCTCTGCTGCCCGTGTCCCCGGCACGTGGTGCCCCGGGGCGCCTGCCCGAGGCTGGCTCTGCCCACCCCCAGAACGGGGGGCCGGGGGTAGCTGCTCGCAGAGCACCGGCAGCGCGTGTGGGATCCGGTCGCAGCTCCCGACGGACGCGGCAGCAGCCGCCTGGCAGGGGGAACGGGGAGGGCACAGCGCTCTTTGCCGCCCCGTCACCTCTTCCGTTGTCTGTTCAGGTGACGAAGGAGGCACTTGGTACATTGACCTGAAAACCAAGGGTGGGAGCGCTGGTTTCGGAAAGCCTCCTGTGGCGGCTGATGTGGTTATGAGCATGTCGAGTGCCGACTTTGTGAAGATGTTCACAGGTGAGTGGCAGAGGCATTTGCCAGGGCAGAGGCGGGCAGCGGTGCCAGGAATCCTCCTGCTGCTGCTGCTGCTGGGCGAACAGCCAGCCTCCTCGCTTCTTGGTGACCCTGGGGTGGAGGAGCTTTGGGCGTTTTGTGGCTCGAGTGAAAGTGTAGGATGGAACGCCTTGGATTTTGCTGAACTGTTCCCTGAACAGGAAGAGCACAAAGGCTCATGCTGCTTTTATTCACTACGTGTTGAGATTCTAGCAGCAAGCACAGCTTTGGAAAGAATCCAATCAATCTGTTGCACTTCTGTTCCGCACATCTAATCTGTGTTTCCTAAATGTGCACTGCTTTTACAGCAGAACTTGCTAGGCAAGTAATCTGTTTTGCTTCTTTTCCTCTGAGATACCTGGGTTATATGGTCTTCTCTCAGTCAAAATTAGTCATAACCTAATAATTTCATTAAGTAACGGGTTAGAATCATAGAGTGGTTTGGGTTGGAAGAGACCTTAAAGATCACCTAGTTTCAACCCGCCCCTGCCCCAGGCAGGGCCCCCTTCCCCCAGCCCAGGGTGCTCCCAGCCCCGTCCAACCTGGCCTTGAACCCTTCCAGGGAGGGGGCACCCACAGCTGCTCTGGGCACCCTGGGCCAGCGCCTCACCCCCCGCACAGGGAAGAACTTCTTTATATCTAATCTAAATCTACTCTCTGCCAGTTTAAAACCATTACCCCTCATCCTATTGCTACAATCCCTGAGAAAGAGTGCCTCCCCATCTTTCCCGTAGCCCCCTTTAAGTACTGCAAGGCTTCTATAGGTTCTCCCTGGAGCCTTCTCTTCTCTAGGCTGGTGTACAACATCTGATGCAATCTGGCCCTCTTATTGTTTTTTTTTCTAGTTCCAGAAAAGGTTTTTACTGGTGAAGTATTTGTTGCAGAAGAGGCAGTGTCACAACTGTCGTAATGTTAAATTGCTGCACTGCTTTATAAGTATGATTTCCACATTTATCATTCAAGAGTTCTGAACCTTCTTTAGCTAAACTTCAAAATGGAGTCAGAAAAGAATAATTAATCATGACAAAATAACTTGTCCATTAAGTAAGTTAATCACTATCATCAAGTCCTCAAAAAATACCTTTAAAAATGGACTGGAAAAGCAAACTCTATTTCAATTAATCAGCCTCCTCCTTTTCAGCAAAGTACTTCAATATTGTGATATATTTATAGATATATAGATACATAGAAATACTTTGTTAGGCTGAGATATTTGTAGGGTATGAGATTTAATTGCAAGTCTGATTTAGAATTTTTACCATGTGGATAAAAAACAAAGTATATACCTAAGAGGAATTTCTAAAGAAAATTAAGGTCTTACTCTATCGTTATTACTGTTTCCTGCACACAGCCTGTATCCAGTTCCTTTTCATTTTCTGATGATTCTACTTCTTTTTAGATAAGCTGAAGCCAATCATGGCTTTCATGTCAGAAAAATTAAGTGTTAAAAGTTACATGCTGCTAGCAATTAGTCTGGAAAAGATGCTGCCACAATTAATTGTGGAATGCTATCAGAACACTGGCCTTTAATATATAACTACAATGCTGTTTTAAAATACTAGTTCTCATATTCTTTGATGCAGTATAAGTATCAATAAAATCTGTAACTGTTAGAGAAGATACAACTCAGTCTGATTGTAATGCCTAACAACGAATAAATTTTTCTTAATAACTTGCTGTAATGAATAAAAGAAAAATGATGTCCCACATTTCTGTTGTTTTAAGGATCATTTTTTTTTTCACTTTTTACTATGATTGCAAACTGTTCTTTGTTACTGCAAGATACAGACCTAAGAGAACTTTATTTCTTATAATGTTATCTTGTCTTTGAATTACCCGATGTCTAATGAGATGTGAGTTCTGATCTCAGGATTACGGCATGCACAATGTGTTTCATGTGTACTGTAAGGGTTGACCTCAGCACTAACTTTACTTCTGACTGGGAAACAAACAGCAGTTTTCTCTCCTGTACTGGCTTCACAAAGCTTGTAGGAACTGACCATGTCTATCAGATGTTATTAAAAAAGGCTGATGATCTCAAGCTATTGTAAAACACAATGTATGTACCTGTGTCCAAAATATGGTCACATAAATATTATTTCTTTAGGGAGCCACCTTAAAATATGAAACATCTGTGAAAGCTATGTTTTTCAAGTGAACATACCTATTCAAAGTACATTTCCAAACACTGTCCTGTAACACTACAAGATCCGAAGAAGATCAAACAACTTGGGTATTGGGAACAAGGTTGTTTAATTTCATACCTATTTCATCATCAACCCTATGCCTTTGCAGTTTTCCCTTCTGTGCAACTTTTCTGCCAAAGCATTTTGTTTTGCAGGATTTCAGGAGTGGAAGGGAGAGGTGTGCAGCATCCAGTTCAATATTAACTACATCCTGGAACCTGAAGACAGAATGTACTTATTTGTTTCTCTGCCTGTATCTATAGTTAACGGTGTGTGTGTTTCTTGTGTAGACAGTAATACAGTAATACTGCTCTATCACAAAATGGTCGATAGCTGTGAATGTCATTTGGTGATGGACTGTCACACATGTGTGATACTAGAGAACGTTGTCACCTTTAGAAGAAAAGTGCTTTTGTTGGATGGGGATCCAGAACAGCACAAGCTGTCTCCAGCTGACCACTGTGTTTCTTCTCTCTCTAATACACCAGGAGCATTGCTTGCATGATGGAAGAGTGAGAACCCACCATGCTGCCCTGGGGGATACTGATTGCTGCCAGCAGCCAGACCAGGGCTGTGCCTGACCACCGATGTGGCTGTATGAATAACTGATCATGCCAGGGAGAGAAGGGTAGGAACTATCACATCCCACACTTTGATTGGTGTAAGCAGTTATGGATTCACACCCAACAGGACAAGCAATTCACTAGCAAGAAAAAGGAAAACTAGAAAACTTGGACCTAATTTTCAATTAAAAGTATTTCTACTATTCTACATGACCCAGGATGAGTGTGAGTCCTGCAGGCAGCATCATGAGCACGTGGGTAGGTCCCACTGCCTTCTCCTCAGAGTCCTTGGGATAAATAGGGTGGTGGCTATGCCATGGGGTGGGTACTGTGGGACCTGGTGATGCTTAGTATTAGGGATATTTGATTCTTGCATTCTGAATGTTCGTATTATGCCATTCCTGGAGTCTCCACTGTGAACAGACATGGCTGAAAAACATGCCGGTCTGCTGTGCACCGTTAGGATGAGACCTACAGTGGGTGCTTAATGGAGGAATTACTGCAAGTATTTGCAGTCTGCAGAGGATTTTTACATAAGGGCACAGAAATGTGTTGGGTTTTGATCTGTTGTTCAGTTCAGAGATGTTGAGGCTCATAAAAATGAAGCAACTAAACAAACAGTGACTGTTATGCTACTGCGAGTAACTGTAAAGCTACAGGTCTCTGGGTGACAGCTCCAACTGATAAGAAAACAGCTCTAAGGCCGATGTAAAACACAGACCCTATACACATGCTGCTGGCAGCGGCGAACAGGACTAACGGCTCATCATACTGTGAAGAAATGTATGCTCATGCCTCATGTGCCCAAGGGCTCTGCCTCGTTGTCTTCCCTCTCACCTCTTCAGTAGCTTCAGCCCCTCCACTTGTGTGTTTTCCCCCGTTTTGAGTGGAGCTGGGAAGGATCTGGTGCCAGCAGTGGGAGTACCCAGCACAGGAGAGTGGGGCTGGGCTCAGGGGCCCCAGCAGAACCGGGGGGCAGTTCCCCCCCAGACCCTGGGCACCGCAGCGTGCCCTTGTGCTGCCAGGCCCGCCACAGGCTTCCTGAAGGGTGAGGCTTGCTAACATGCATCAATCCCTTTTTCTGTGCTTAATAGGGTTCAAAAGCAGGAAAGAATGGGATAGGCAGGTTTGCAGCAACAGCAGAATCTGCATCTGTGCCCCGCAGCCTCTCACCTCTCTTCCCTCCCCTCTGGTACAAAGTCCCTGCTGCAGAGGAGTGAGGGTGTACTTCTCTGTGACACAGCACCCAGACTTGTCATACTTATTTGTCCCACCAAAACAATCAGTGAGAGCATAACACTGTTGTCATGGAGAGACTTGGTTTAGAAGAACATTAGGCTGAATGCTTAAAACTTCAACAAAAATTAAAACCACTGCATGTCAGTCCTTATAATGGAGTGTTGCTTCATCATAGTTCTGTGTATAATTCTATCCAAGATGTTGCTTTATATAGCAAAGTTAAGCAATAACTATCTGAATATAACTAAGTTATAGATTATAGAATCGGTATTTTTTACTGGGGTGTAGCTGTTCCTCTGTAGCTCTGCTTCCCACCATTCCCATCGGGGGCTGATGATGAAGGAAGAGGAGGGGACCTTGCCAGCTGTATGGGGACAGTGTCATCACACCTCTTGAGACAGATTTATCTCCACAGAGTTTTATCCGTGGGGTCCACACATCAACTTGAAGTTACCATAGGGTAAAATGAATGAGAAGAGAAGGAAGGGGGAAACTGTCCAGTGGCCAACCAAGAAGCAAAGCCATGGGGCCCTCAGAAAAGTCTCCTTCCCAGTGTCAGCAAGTGGCGAGGATGACAAAGATGGCTAACTATTCTTGTCCAGCTTTTTCCTCTGTTAGCTCTGTGCTTGGCATTAGGACCCAGCCAAACTCCCTCTTTGTTGTTCTTGTGTATGATGCTGTCAGGATGACATTTCATCAGTCACAGGTGGTAAATGCAGTCACTCCACTTTGTGCATCTTTATGGCTGGTAACGCTCACGAGATATTTACATGACTGCTACCTACTTTTCTATTTGCTAACTCTTGTTTTTCCCCTAATGTAAACTAAAGTTACAAAACAAGTAGGAAGCACAAGGGTAAGAAAGGGAGGATTCTCGGACTGTTAGCAATTGTTTTCCATGAGAACCTATTATGATACAGAGATTTGCAGGTGGAAGACCATGAGGATAACAGCACAAAGGCAACAGCATAGGAAAGAGAAGGGAAAAAATCTGATACAGCAGCTTAGGTGGAAGGCTGCAGAGCTGCAGGTGAAAGGCTGGCCACAGATATGCGGGCAGAAGGCCCTTTGCATTGCAAAGGTGAAGGCGCTTCTGCATGCTTATGTGCAGCGGTTGAAGTGTCTGGCATTTGTTGTTCAGTGCTAAAAGAGGGCTTATACAATTAAACTGTGATCGCAAGATTGGACTTGGAGGCTTGCACATTAGAACTTCATAACCAAGGAAGCAGGGAAGTGCACACACAGTTTCTGCATGGTGTGGTTAAGCTCAAACTCTATGGTTAAGCTCAGTCTCTATGCAAGAAAGAAAAAGTGAGTTCTATTGAATTTCTTAAATGTGAACTGTAATTTTAAGCTTGTTTCCCTGTTCTTACTTTCTCCCATTGATAGGAACCACATGGCATTGTTAGCGGTCGCAATCGCGAAAGAACTTATCTACACCCAGCAGATAAGCAGGCACTTCTTTATTCCAGCGCTGGGGAACACGGGGGATAACTCCGCCAAAGACGTGTTCAGCGACAGGTACAAAGCACCACATATTTATACACTTCTTCAGCAGAGTCATAGTTACATAAGATCAATAAATTCATAACGTTTAAGTTGACCTTAATAATGATTGGCTTTCAGTTACCTCACCTGACCTATATTCCTATTCTACAGAAATCATTGGTCATCTTTACTGATTGATTTAAATAGAATGGGGGGAGGGCAATGATTAGCATATTCATGTTATTTCCTGGAAATCATTATCATATGCAAAGGTCCCTAACGCATGTGTGGTTATACTGGACGGGGGTCTCTGGTGGTCGTCGATAGTCTTCCTCACTGTGTCGGCTGATTGAACTCCATCCCTGCGCATGCTCACTCCACCTTTGGTTAATGCTCACCTCTCCCTTGGCCGATCTTCCCAACCAAACCAGTTTTCCTCCGGTACCTATTGTTTCAAGTCAAGATCCATAACCAGTACCTATTGTGTTAATTCAGAGTCCATAACAATTGTTACAGTGTTCAAGGCACACAGCATACTAGTTGCTTAATCCTAAGGGCCTTAGTGTACTTTATATTCTCATAGCTACTGTAGCTTCATGTTAAATCAAAATCATACTTTTAAACTAAAATCAAAATAATATTCTAGGATCCAAACTGTTTTATTAAGGTAACTGCAACGTTTCCCCCCTTTGAAAGTATTGATAATCATACTCAATACTTTCACATATTCAAATTGTAGTCTCATTAAATGCCAAATGGTCATATGATGGTGTATCTTTTAATGTCTTATCTCGTTGTCTTGCTTCTGCTTGTATAATAATTCGATTAAACTCTGCTTTAAGGGTCAACTTTAACACTTCTACCATCATAGACTATAAAATTTACAGAAAACCAAAATTCAGATACTTAATCATGCTTCAGAGTCAATTTTAACATTTCCAGCCGTCCAAAAAAGGTATCTACCCCAACCAGAACATACCGATATCCTTTACATTTGGGTAATTTTGTAAAATCAATTTGCCAATAGTCACCAGGTTCTACTCCTACTTTCAGTTTGCCCATTTGAACTCTCTTCTGTACCACTGGATTATTCATTAAACATACATTGCATTTTTCAGCAACTGATTTAGCCATCTCTAACATCCTTACCGATACTGTGTGCCTCTTCAGGAATGTCACCAGGGCCTCTACACCCCAATGGCATTCCTGATGTTCTACTTGTAGTATTTCCCTCATAATTAATGGGGGCACAACCATCTGGCCTTCAGAGGTTGTCCACCATCCTTCTAAATTCTTCTTTGCATTTAAAAATTGAGCTAATTTCTCATCTTCCTTCAAATATTCTGGTGGTTCCTTTGGGAGAGTTACAGTTCTAGTAGCAATTATTGCCATTTGTAACATTCGCTGTTGAGCTGCTTCCTTGGCAGCTTGATCTGCTAACCTATTCCCTCCTACTAGTTTTGTATTTCCAGATTGATGTGCTTTACAGTGCATGATCGCTATTTGGGCCGGTTCCTGTACTGCCAATAACAACTGTAAGATTTCCTTCTGATGCTTAATATTTGCCCCCTGGGAGGACAATAGTCCTCGTTCTCTCCATAATGCTCCATGGACATGAACCACTCCAAAAGCATATTTTGAATCTGTCCAGATGTTCACTTTCTTTCCCTTACTTAATTCCAATGCTCGTGTTAAGGCAATTAATTCTGCTTTCTGTGCTGATGTAGTGTTGGGCAGTGCATTTGCCTCTACCACAGTACTTTCAGTTGTTACCACATATCCTGCGTAGCGAGTTCCATTCTGTACAAAGCTGCTGCCATCTGTAAACAGCTCCCATTCAGGATCTTCGAGAGGGACATCCTTCAAATCTTCTTGACGAGAGTATGTATGTTCAGTAGTCTTTATACAATCATGTTCAGGTTGTCCTTCCTCCTGTGAAGCACTCAGAAAAACTGCAGGATTTACAAGATTAGTTGTTTTCAGAATCACATCATCTTGCTCCGTAAGGATTAGCTGATATTTCATCATTCTGCTAGGGGACAGCCAACACCCCCCTTTTTGTTCCAGCACTGTAGCAACCATATGCGGAACATAGACCATGATGGTTCTTCCCAAGTTGAGATTTCTGGCTTCTTGTATCAATATTACTGTTGCCGGTACTGCCCGCAAGCAGGAAGGCCATCCTTTGCTCACTGTGTCCAGTTGTTTAGAAAAGTACCGACAGGTCTCTTCCAGCTTCCCATCCTCTGGGTCAGGACCCCCAGGGCAAGGTGCTGCCTTTCATGAGCAAACAACTGGAAATCTTTAGTTAAATCAGATAATCCTAGAGCTGGTGTTGCCATTAAAGCTTGCTTAAGCTTTTGAAAGGCCTCCTGTTGTTGTTGACCCCATATGAAAGGGGGTGGACTTTTGGGCCTCATATAATGGCTTGGCCAACAGACCATAATCCAGAATCCAAAGACGACACCACCCGGCCATTCCCAGGAAAGCTCTTAATTCA